CTAATGACTCTACAAGTTGAGTTATGATTTCGAATAGTAACCAGCAGCCTTGATCGCTTTGGGGAAGAGAACATCGGATACCCTAATATGTCGCATAAATTTAAGGAATTTATTGCACAATAATCTAGTGTTTTATGTAAAAATAATTAAGAAAATCTTTACATACAGCTACCTAAGCATGAAAAGAATTGCGTAAAATTAAAAAGAAATTCAAAATACGTACCGTCGCACTGACAGCTGGGACATGGCTTAGTACTGTAGTCAAGATGACAACCAGGATCACATTTTGGAGGAGTACATTGTATGTCTGAATTGAAATTAAAATAATTAATTTCAGAAAATCATGTATACGAAAATTATTTATAAGACTTATCACACTAATAAAGGTACTATCTTGAAGTTATTCTGTCCCCATAACAATATAAAAAATTTCGGAAGTTCAATTTTGAGAATTCTGCTTCTTTTTTCAATTGTAGTCTTAAAAGTAGACTCTCACGTCTTTCCCACTTAATGCAGACATGATACAATGTTAAAAGAGTTGACGAAAACTGAAAGTTATATATGATATACACTGAAAGTTAATATCCGATGTTATTAATATGCTTTCATTGCGTAAATAAAGGCCATTAAATACGATACATGTTATTTAAAGCTTTTCCATAGGCTAAGAAGAAACTGAAAATAAGAATGCGGCATGGTGGGCTCTTTCAGATGAAAATCGGGAGCTAAGAGATTCTGTACTTCAACAGAAAAGATGCTTTTTAGTGTGTAAGATGCACTTTCTAGAGACTCAGTATTTGATAAAAACAGAAGGCTGAAACACGTGATGAGTTTCTTAGAGAAAAATATGTCTGACTATAGCATGTAAGAAACTTATCAACGAAACTTTCTTGTTAGACCTAAGCACGTATTTTATTCATTCCAGAGATATGCCAGTGTCCATATTTAATTCTGCTTAGTACGAATTTTGTATTCAGTATAGCAAACGCAAAAATTCACAAGATTTTGAAAGCTTCTGAAACACCACTGAAAAATATGAATCTTGTTAATGTATGGGGACTTAAGATGTTAAATCTTAAGATGTCAATGCCTTTTATCACTGCGCAAATCTCGAAAGTCTCATATTCAGTTTCGCGAATAAATTATGCTACACAAAGCTTTGATGCTGGAAAGAGCATAAAAAACTTACCATCACATGTACAACTGGGACAAGGATCAGTGCTATAATCGATTCTACAGCCTTCGTCACATTTAGGTGGCGAGCATTGTATTCCAAAATTTGCTGAAAAAATTTATGTAATTAAATTTTAAAATTACAGCCAAGGAAATATATTTAGGTGGGTATTTATAGTAAACACAGAACTTACGATTCCATTCGTTATCGCAGGCACAACTTGGGCATGGGTCAGTGCTGTAATCTATTCGGCAGCCAGCTTCACATTTAGGAGGTGAGCACATTATTGCGGAGGCTGCGGGATGAAAAGTAAATGTACGAATAAAGTCTCCGGTACAAGTCTTTGAAAGACTCCTAATACGAAACATTGCAATGATTCACAACAAAGTATTATGTTTAACAAAGCTGCTGTAAAATAATACTCACTTGTTATTCTTGTAGCACAAATGCATGAAGGACAAGGCCTAGTTGTGTAATCTAGACGGCAGTCAGGGTCGCACTGAGGAGGTGGGCATAGAATACCAGTTGGTTCTTAAAAATATATTTGATAAGCATATAAGAAGACATATATAAAAGTATATAGGAAGCAAAGTTAAGCAAGTACTTTCAGTTTAGTTCAGTGTGAATTTAATAATATTTAACAAAAGGTAAGAAATTTTAGTATTGTTAATGCATTAGAAATATTAGATATTAAGGAAATCTTTTTAAAGCAAAATTTAAAAGTCTAATTATTTAAAATAAAATAATATATATTTATGATAACATATTCTTGAATTTATTATCAGCTACCGTAGAAACCTCGTTTGCTGAATCTAACCATGGCCATTTTATGGTCTGTCTAAGAATGTTGTTTATATCCCTAACAATGATTAACTCCAAAGTTCAGTATCCTGATGCTCTACTACATATGTTAAGCCTCCGTGAAACACGACGATTTGTGAAGGCATTATTTAAATTCAGTCAAACGTGATGACATGTTTTTTTGTATCACAAAATGACCTTAAACTAACTTTTTTGATTTCTAACCATAGCGTATGTTAAAACTCTTGCCATGCATGAATTTATAGAAACACAATTAGAAGAGAGCAACATAAGAAATTTTTAATTTTACTGCACTTTTTTACAATCTGCATCAGCGAAAATCTAAAATAATAATCTTATGCTCCATATAATCAGATACTGTGTGTGGCACTCTAAAATATAAAATATTTGTCACATATTTTCGTTGACCATATATACTTAAGTTTATTTTAAAGAATTTATGCCAATTAGTCTAAATGACTATTTTATAGTATTAAAACTATAATAAGTCTATTAGTTTTTTGAAATATAAATGTTTTCTTAAAACTAATATCACAAAAAATTGTTATTATTAGAAAAATAAATATGATTTAAATTAATAGCTCAATAAAATCTTTTTTTTTTCTTCAAAAATACTCTATAATGACGTAGTTACCTTCCTTCGACTTACATTCGCAAAATTCTAGAAGCTTTTTGATGTAAGCTGTAGGTCTGCCAATTAAAATGAACTTGTAAAGCAATTAGAAACCATCTATTAAGATTTACGAAAAATGTACTGTATTATTTGAAACAAGTTATTTGCTATTAACTGATTAAGCATTTAATTAAAGAATTAAATTTTAAAAGTTTGCTTTTAACTCATCCTTCATTAAAAAGAATTACATTTTACAATTTCATTCTGATATATAATACAAATGCTAAACATTTCAAGTTTTTTTTTTTTTTTTTTTTTTTTTTTACAAATTGCTCCGCGTACAAAAGTAAACATGATAGTAGCAGTCTGTGAATTTTTAATAATATCAAAAGAAAATAAATATAGAACGGAACGTTTATTATAAAAAAAACTAGATTAAATTAAAACTTTTACTTCTAATGTTTATTTTGAGTGGTCAGATCTGGATCAGGTTCTGGATTTTTCAGTAATTACGTTACTGCATTTAAAATTTGTAGCTAGGATCCCTTGGCTACGAAGCTTTTAGAGACATTAGGATGAAGTAGAATAGATGGAAAATATGCAACGCCTTCGCCGGGTATCGAACCAGGCACCCCTTTGGAATACGCGAACAGCGGTGCAGGCCCCCACACCACAAAGGCATGCCAAGAAGGCGGAAGAAATACCTTATAAGCTTTGCTTTCTCCATATATGCGAGCTTAAAATTGACGAAGCCATCATTCTTCATTGTTTCCAGCATAATTTGTTGAAGTGACAGAAACGTATTATCGCGTATTTTTTGAGAAATATTATCAAAGGTTATTTTCACTACTTCTTTAGTGCCTCTTCTGCTAGTCAAAGTTTTTCACGTTTTTCTGCATAATCTTTGCACTTACGTCCAGAATTTTTTTTTTTTTTTTTTGTCAAAGCATAAGAAAAGCTAAAATTAACATTTCAGCATTAGCTTAAGATTCCGCGTGACAATTATTTTTTGAAGCACGTTCCCAAATTCTTGATATGGTCATTCTATTGCACTAAAATTGTTTTGCAGCTAACACAATTGAAACTTCCTGCAACTTTTGGTTTTTCTTTTGATACGTTAAGAATCGGATAATCGCAACTCGATCTTTGCTTGGAAACTCTCTCTTTCTCTCTTTTTTTTTTTTTTTTTTTTTTCATTTTACTTTTCCAGTAGGTTGATATTCAACTGAAATAAAACAACCGATTTCCATCAGAGGATGAAAATAGGAAAATGGTAATAATACATAATAATTAGGTTAACCTAAAAAATGAAAGATGTGTCAATGATGATTTTGATTGAAGGTTTTGCAATTTTTCTTACAACATAATATATAGCTGCATTCGCCAATTATTCCCATTTAAATATTTACTTGCTACTATTATTATGGACAGAGATAGTACGAAATAATGCTTTATAAGGTATTTCTCCCGCCTTCTCCCGCCAGCACACTCCATGCGCATTCGAGAGGTCCGTGCTTCGAGTCCCGCCGAGGACATTGCTTATTTCTCATTTCTCCTGCTTTCAAAAAATACCTAAAGTCTCTACAGTGGAGCCAGAACTAAAAACAAAAAAAGTGGTGGATGATGATTCTGCACCACCAGGATATGGCGATTGCGTCCCCTCATCCACAGTCGCTCTTTAAAAGGGGGAGTATATAAGGTATTTCTCAGGCCTTCTTAGCATGCCTTCGTGGTATAATGGTCAGTACGATCGGCGCGTATTCGAGAGATCCGAGGTTCGAGTCCCGGGGAAGGCATTGCTCATTTCTCATCTCTCCTGCTTTCAAAAAATACCTAATATCTCTACATTTTCTAGTGATTTATAACACTGAAAATACATCACCTTAATAAAGAATCTGTTATTTTTCAGTGTGAAGTTAGGAACACAATGTTAAAACTATAGGGCTGGGGGAAAAATATCTAATGGTTTTCAGAATGGAAGGTAAGGCATCACTTTATATTAAGAAATCCTAAGCGATATATCAGAGATTTATAAAGGAGAGATTGATAATGAGTGGATAGCATTTTTTATTATATTTGCATGTTTTCATAAAAACTATGTTTTGCAAATGGGATTCTACAACGGAAAATTAGCATTGCTTATTATGAAAAATTCTACGGTTATATTACGATCACCAATGTCCTTGCCAATTTTATTGATCTCTTCAGGGCAAAAGTCTGAAAGAGAAACGGCTGAAGAACAGGATGGACAATTTAAGTCTCCAACAGGGGCGTAGCCAGAGTTTCCAGGGCCAGGGGACAACTGAAGAATTTGCGCTCTTTTCTGTGTGCCAAGAATGGAAAACATTTCATTAAAAATTTTCGTAGCATCAATTTGTCGCCCCTTGGATGCTGCGCTCGGGGACAGATGACAGATGTCCCCCCTTGCCCCACCTAGCTACGCCACTGGTCTCCAAAATCCAGTAAAAACATTAACTTAACTGTAACAGCCAATTTCTCAATATCTGCATAATGAAGACAGTTGTGTGATGGTGCTTTGCTACTATTTTAAATCTGCTGGTGAAATTCCAGCGTTTATTATTTGCCCGAATAAATAGCTTCTTGACTGCAATACAGGTATGCATAAGATTTTGCTCCACAGGAAATAAATTTCAAGAGGTAGACTAATAACCACTACTAGTGGCTGAATAGTTGAAGCAATAGGAAAAACTTTTGCTTAGTCCTTGGTTCGATTCCTACAGCATGAAAGATATGGTTACAAGTAGATTTTCATAGTTTTGCTCTCGGTGAATAAGATAAATGTGAGTCAACTGTTTTGATAAAGATTACCATGAAGGCAAAGATTATTTTTCCACACAAGCGCTTTGTCGAAACTAAACAGAAAATCTGCCAACCTTTAGTGTTAGTATTTTCCATTCCAGGTGTTTAAACTTTATCCTGATTAATTTCTGAACTACTAGAACATAACAAAGTATAATTATTTCTCACCTCTTTTTTCAAGGCATACGCAAGACGGACAAGGACCTGCTGATCTGTCATATTCTAAGTGGCAGTTACCATCACATTTTGGAGGGGAACACAAGGGATCACAGTAGCAAGTTGGACATCCATCAGATCCCATGATTTCGCGGCACATGGACCCGCATGTGATCTTTGGACACTTTGCTATTGAGATTTGAAACAAGTTTAAATATTTTTATATGGTTTCGAAAAAAGTAGTGTAACAGTAACTATAGCTGCAGAGGATATATATTAACAGCATAATTTTTATTGCTAAAAATCCTAAAAGTGATGTACATGAGTTATACAATTTTGATATTAGTTGATCGTCAATAATATTACTTAGATATTAATTACATTATCATTTTACATTAGTCACCAAAGTAATTCCTATGTTTATAAATTATTTCAATCAATATGAAACGCCCTCAATTGTCTATCTTTATATAGTTTCCTATCTATCTTTACATCTTTTTATCTACTTATCTATCCCGTTATTCTATCTGTATATTTTCAAAAGTTATCGCTGCTAATAATGCTCACATTCCTTTCATTGTAGAGAACAACTTTAAAAGCTTATTTCGAAACTTATGTTCAGAGAATCTAACTATTAAAAACTGGCGAGAGTGATTGCTATTATGATAAATTATAAAATTTAGCAAAAGTCAATTTTAGATTGGCTTTAATTTTTATCTTTGGGATTGTCTATAACTTATGAAGGAATTCAATGCAATCCATCTCCTTCAAAGGACAAAATTATTCTTAATTGTAAAGTTATATAACAGGAATAATAAACCGAGAAAAAGCAGACTTCGCTGTAAGATAAGAATTTTGTATGTCTCAGTAAACTGCTGAATAAAGAAAAAGCACTTCTTAGAAAGAAATCGCAGAAAAGTTAAAAATTACTAGATTGAATAATAAAGAAGCAGACGTCTGAAGAGATCCAATGGTAAAAATTAAATATCTGAAGCGTCGTTTAGATTAAAGATGGAACAAATTCTAAACAACTGTATCTAGCTATTAAACTTACGATTCTCATAATACTTGTTTATTTTAACAAGATTTGAGCTAGAATTCATATAAATATAAGAGTGTACTCAAAGCTGAATTCATCGGCATTTCGGTGGTGGATTTTACTCTCCATTATGATCTCTATCGATAGCAAGTTCTTAAACACAGGGCACTATAATCCAGTAAATTTAGTGTCAAATTTTGATTCATATGAGAATAATATTCTGAAATCTGACGGTTATTTTCAGTGATGTTGGATTTACGGAACATTTTTGATAATCTGTCCTTCTCTAGCACAATGAAAGAAAACATACCCACTGACAGTGAAATAAAGAAAATTGTTTCCATTCGATTTGATTAAAAACAATTTATGATTTGTATTTCTATAACTCTTATTAAGCATCAACACTATAAATTTATGTGTGTTTAAAGTAAAAATCAGATGGTGGTGAGGTGGATTAGATGATCAGCAGTTAAAGATGTAACTGTTCTATCACGCGTTAGTAAAGCGATTCATTACTAGAAAGTTACGTTATTGAAACCAGTTGAATATGTATTGGGAATCAGATACACCCAAAATTTCTCCTTAATTTGAGTGATTATTTTGATCCACATATTTTGTAAATATCAGAACTGTATATATAATACAGCTTATACTTTTAAATGATATTGCTTAAAAAGTGTACAATAGGTAGAAAAAAGAAACCTACCTATTTACCATTTTAAGCTATTTTTTTGAAAGCCCTATCTTGTAACCGACAAAAGTTGTAAATATTCAGTTAAGTTCAGTTCTAAATACGTACTTTCTTCTTTGTCACAGACACATTCTGGGCAAGGGCCTGCAGTAGGATTGAATTCTAAACGACATCCAGCTTCGCACTTTAGAGGGGAGCACAATGGATCGCATATGCAATTCGGGCAACCAGCTTCGTAATACGCTTCATGGCACAAAGGCCCACATTTGACAGGCGCACATTGTACATAAGGAGCAGCTGGAAAAATATGTTTATGTCATCAAAGGAATCATTTTAATATTCTATAATAATTACATTTATAAATTCTGTACGTAGATTGCATGATATCACATTTAATGTTGATACGAAATAAGCTCAAACCAATTTATCAAAAGTAACTGGAAGTGACGTTTTTCTAGTAACACTTTTTCTTTCGAACAATTAGATTTCTTTTTCATAAAAAAGGGGAAATAATTTATTTTTGTGCATACCGTTGTACCGCTTTTTGTTTTCCTTGAAAATACGCAAAGAAATAGGCAACAATAATTAAAAATTAAAATCTTTAAAAACCTTTTGCTATAATTACCATTTTTAAACGTTAAACCAGAGTCCCCCGAATAGAGTTAGAAAATATGAGATGAAAATTAATGGCACTATATTTAAAGGAAAAAATAAATCCTTCCAGTATCCAGTGCAAAGCTGCAGTGCATTTCCAGATTCAGAAATTCTGTTCTAGAACATTGTCATTATCAGTAGCAGACCATTGAAAAACTGTTTCTTAAATTGGTTAAATTAATTAATTGATAGAAGCAGACTGGATAATTTTTGTAATTTATGGAATATTAAAATATACTTTTCAATAAAAATTTGATTAAGTATCTCAAATCCGGATGAAGTTGATCACATGCGCATACATTTTAACCTTTGTCTCTGTAATCACTAAACATGAAGGTCACAATGATAACCAATTGTTTAATGTTGATAATAATTAGAAGGTGATCTCAAAATATAGGTGCTTTAGGAATATTAAAGCAGGAAATGTGTTTTAGATATTCAATTTACTTTAAAGAGACTTTACCATCAGCATCCCGCCAAAATCACAAATCTTCAAAAATTAATGTTTCAACCTATGGGCATTTTCTAGGTTGTTCTACTATGTTTATTTCTAAGTGAAAGCAGGAATGGGCACATTCTCTGATATTAACGTGAAAAGCATTATTATACTGTAACTTCTCTTAAATTAAAAAATTACTCACTTGGTAATAAATGATTAATAATGAATAGTTGTGCATGGATACATTTTATGCCAACGTTGATAATCATTTGTCATTGGTCAAAGTTATGCTACCTCTACTGGAGTTTTAACACAGATAGCAGTGCGACGTTATTCAGTCCATGATATTTCTGATCTAGAATACCTCATGCTCCAGAAAGACAGCTGACACACTTATTATTTTTTGACTTTATGTAACCGTCCTCTGGAGAAGAAGAAATTATACAGTTCAGTTTCAAAGACGGACTCATTATAGAAAAAGTAAATGTTCGGATATGATAGAAAATGGCCGTATTTATGAGATATACTTCGAAAACGACACAAAAATATGTAAAATTCCGGTGTACAACTTAAATCAAGAGACCACAAAAATTCAACAACCTCATTTGCCAGGCTCAGCAATGGATTGAAATGGAAAGCTAAATTTTATTACAAAGCTTTAAAAAAAAAGGAACAGTGATCAGACACAAACAGGCTGATATACGTATGATTGGTTGCAGACATGCATAAATAAGCTGATACACGTTAATTAGTGAACAAAAATCATTTAAAATGCAAAAATAACTAACAATACAAAAACTTGAAAGAGCAAGAATTTACAGGAACAGTTACCGAATATTACATAAACATTATATGAAGAATAAGTTCTGCATCTACCAAGTAGTCCAAAAATCGGGCATATGAAATATTTAAAAGCTATTCAAATTCCCAATTGGATATTAATGGCAAAATAGTTTCAACAAGTGACATCCCTATACTGTTATGAGTATTATGTCACTCGAAGTTTCACTTTATTTTATACTGTTAGCTTTAAAAACTGTTTGTTTGGTGCAAGATAGAGAAGAGTATTTTTAACAAGCAGAGCGAATTTTCTAGAACTCTAAAATAAACTGAATTTATATTTCTGTCAATGTATCTAACAAGTTCACCACAATATTTGCAATGAGAAATGGCTGCAACGTTATTAGGGAAATATAGCAAGTCTTATAATTAATTTTGTTCAGGTATTATGTGCCTTCATCTCTTACCACAAGTAGTATCATGTTAAACTTGCAAGTGACTGAATGGTATTCGGCAAATTTTAAATTTTTCACAAAAAATCTTTATAATTATTAAGGTAATAAATGACAGAGTAAACTAGTATCCACCTAAATTTTATGCATTCCTCATGTACCTAATTATTAAACCAAAGGGGCGTTAGCCCAAAACAACTGTCGAATCACTATAAACGGCTGTATCACTTTTCAGACTGTTGCCACCAGATATTATCGCCCTGTATAATATTTAAAGAAATTAAGTAATGAAGAATCTGTATGAATGGCTACATATTTCTAGCCCTGCGAAAAAACAACGGAACTTAGAGGCATCAAATTTTGAATAACGTCGTCCTCTACCTGGAAGCCTGGACCTTTAATTTCGAACTTGTTTTATGATATACTTCATATTTTTAAACTTTAACGAATTTTTGATTAAGAAACTCAACGATTTCAAAGCGAGCAGTGGCAACAGACTATACAAAATAAAATATTTCTATCTTCAGCGCGCAATACTGCCCATCGGAAATTCTAAAGATATGCTATTTTTAAATATTTTTAGCCCAAAGAGGTACTAGCCCAAATACTCTTGAAACGTATATATATGTGTGAATGAAAAAACGGCCCCTTTGGGCGTAATATAAAATCTGAAAGCTTTCATATTTTATTTTATTTATTTATTTATTTCGTGTGTTTAAATTACACTACACGACATTGAAAAATGCATCACTAATAAGGAGTGGTCAGAAAGTGATTAAACTCGGCAAACATAGAAAGACAGTAACGAACAATGAGTGACCTTTATTTCGAAACGATATGCATAATACAGAGCGAGAATAGAGTCGGCTCAGTAGGTTCGTTAGCTGCCGACCAGGCTTCGTCCTAAGGTTAAATCAATCGAAATTAATACTTGATCAGCGGATGTAAAACCCACTTATACTACCAGTAGCCACCATAACTAGGTGGACTGCCAGATCAGCGACGCTTATTTTGTATCAGCCGAAGTAAATTCTTATAAAAATTAAAGAACATGTATCAATGACATCTTTGCACTTTGTGCGACATATGTGCAAATGATATATAACATAACCAAAATTTGCATACGAGAGGTAGGACCACCTTTGACGGCTATACACAAAGTAACACGTCTAGGTATAGAATCAGTGAGGCTGTGAATGGTGCCCTGAGAAATGGCTCACCATTCCCTGGCAGCCATTTGCCATAGTTCGCCTTCTACACATGGCAATGGCCGAGTATGCAAATGGCGCCCAATCGCATCCCAAATGTGTCCGATTGGCGAGAGATCAGGAGAGAACTGTGGCCTGGGAAGCATCTATACACTTTGCAGAGCACGTTGTCTGATGCGAGCAGTATGTGCTCGGGCTTTTTCCTGCTGATAAAGGGCATTGGACACTCCCTAAAGGCAGGAAATTATAACCGGTAGCAGTACTTCACCCACGTATTGTTGGGCTGTCATAGTGCCCTGATATAAAACTAGAGGTGATCTGGAATCGTATGCAATTGCGCCACAAATCATGATGCTGCATTGTCGCGTTCCACAATTGCTGCCTAATTGGAGCTGTCTCCAGATCGACGTCAAACTCGTGCGCGACGACTATGATTGGAGAAGAAGAGGCATGACTCATCTGAGAACACGACCCTGTGACATTTCTTTGTCCACATCGCTCAAGCCTGGCACCATAGCAGATGTTGGAATCTAAGATGTAGAGTCAATGGCAGTCTTCTTAACGGACGCCACGGGTGCAGGCCACTGGCCACCAATCGATGACAAATGGTTCTGGTCGATATGGGAACATCCAGGGTATCTTGAACAAGCTGCAGATCAGAGGCAGAAGTGGCTTGCGGATGCGCCACTGCTTGTCAGCGGAAGCGTCAATCCATGCGTGCTGACGTCACTCTGGTTGCAATGGCACGCCTCAAATTTTCCACATTTCCTTGTTCCAACTTGTAATTGACTCCTCTTTTTTATTTTTTTAATGGAGTTAGTATGGGAAGGCATTACCAGTTGACCTATGGTACATCGCTGGTGTCTCCATACTTTTACCTGTACCAACCATCGTCGCCACAGCCGGTACACTGTGGACGCTTCCAGTAGTGCGTCAACTGAGATTTGCCCGTATGTAATAATCCGCCCTTCTCGATCCGATCACCTTGCCCCTCGTAAAATTACCTGTTTGCTGGAACTACCTCCGTTAACAACGGCCTGGCATTCTCTGCTATTGCATGTGTCCTTTGAGACAATCTTCTACGATGACTTCTCTAGCAGAAATAACGGCACAAAAATTGAACATTCTGCAGGTTCCTTCCGTTATATCTTCTTCAACGTGCGCTGGAAAGCTCGAATTTCACATCAGTCACATATGTCGGTGATGTGAGTCTACTCTGAAATTTGCATAATTTATTTTTTCATAATTAACTAATTTAAATGTCCTTATTCATTGGGAAGATATTACTGTGGAAAATTCCTTTCGAATCAGTATACAGATTTCTTAACATTTTTCCTGTTAAACCGATTATTTACATGAAAACGTACTAAAATATATGTAGTTATTAACAGGTCTTAAAAATCATTCAGTATTACCAAAAAAAAAAGTGTACTTACGATCTTTGTCTCCACATATGCAACCACGGCATGGACCTGTAGGCGATGGATCTACGTAACATCCTTCTTCACATTTCGGAGGGGTACACATTGGGCCACAATCACAAGATGGACATCCTGATTCTCCTACAGATTCTCTACATCCAGCAGGACACTGAACTGGGGAGCACTGTATACTTGTGTCTACAATGAAAAAAAAAAAAATAAGTCCCGTTAGCAATAACCAAATCATGTTAATTACAGAACAAATTTTCTCTTATTATTCTTCCTGATTATTTAACCGGATTAGTGAATAAAATATTCACCTTTGTCCGGGCAGAAGCATCTAGGACACTCTCCTTCTTTCACATCCCTCTCTATTTCACAACCAGAGTCACAATTTGGCGGATGGCATACAGGTCCACAAACGCACATCGGACAGCCTCCTGGATTAATTGCTTCGTAACAGTTTTCAGTGCATTTTACAGGAGAACACATTGGTGTTACTAGAGTGGAAATTAAATTATTAATATAAATCAAACAGTTACTTTTGAAACCTCTTCTTGCAAATCAAAAAGAAATGAGGTTTCTGTATGAAGAATAAATATTATAATGAATACAAGAATAAACCTGAAGTGTCTACGTGTATGAATTTTTATAGCTGTCAATTTGAAATAAAAGTTACCTTTTGTAATATGTGGACATTCACACCCCGGGCATTTTCCAGGAGGAACATCCTTTTGTACTTCGCATCCCGTTGAACATTTCGGAGGTGAACACAAAATATCATTACACATGCAGAAGGGACAGGAGTTATGAACTGTTACTTCAGAACAACCAACAGGGCATACCACTGGAGTGCACTCAGGTATCTGCACAGGTGCTGAAAAATACTGTATGTTAATTTCCATGAATTCAGTTAGTAGTTCGGAGTCATCTACACATATATTTATCAATAAAAATGTTCATGTAAAATAAGTACAATAATCAGAATAATTATTAAATACACTGCAGCAGAAATGTAAAGAGGAAAAATGGTTTCTAGATGAATAAAGAGAAATCCCTAGAAAATGGTCCCGATGGAGGCAATTTTTCACTTCACGAAGCAAAAGAAAACTTTAAAACTGTATTATTTTGATGTCCATGCTTTGAACGAATCTCAGACAAAACTGCTTAGTCTCAGTTAATGGCTATATATTCACAAAGAGGATTTGTACGTCATGAAACATATATGGACAGTATAAAGAGAATTAAGATACATTTTTTATTTATTTATTTATTTGTATAAATCCAACATTATATGGAATTTTAAAAGAATGTTCCAAATGATTTCCTACTTACAACTCACAGGTCCAGTCGATGTTGTTGCACACAAAATACATGTTCGATGATGTAAGTTCAATCTTAAAACAGACATTATTTATCATTTTTACCGCGTGGTTCAAAATATATTATTACCATCGTAAACCAAAATTTTTAAGTGACACCAAAGGTAAAAGTTACCTTACCACGTATTCATCGTTAGAAGATGACGATTAAGTTACATAGAATATTGTATATGTACTCAGAAACCGATTCCCGGGTAAATCTCAGAAAATAGCCTAAATGTTTTGCTGATAAATCCGTATTTTATCTTGGAGGTATTTACTGCGTTCAATTTGGCAATTTCATGTGCTTATAAAATACAGATAATTGACTCTTGAGAGAAACAATTTTTGCAAGCCTCATTTACAAGTTGTTCAATGACAAAAAAATACACAGTTACATCTTGAATGATTAAGCCCTTTTTTAACAAATAACAGTTCTCCACTTGAAGATTTATGGTGAAAGATAATAGCAATTTTTCCTACCATTTGGAATAATTCGTTTCAAGTATAAGATGTTAAGTTATGCATTTTTAATTTTAGTTGAATCATTAATTATCTTTATTTCTGAAATTAATAGATATATTATAGCTGTTTAGGTTAACTTATTAACCTGAAATTTCTTTACCAGAATCAGACCGAAATCTTACGATTTTATATTTAAAAACTTAAACAATTTTTAACCGTTTAGAACTGTAAACTCTTCGAGATGTTAGAACGCAATCTGAAGTTTTCAAATTGATAATTCGAAAAACCACAAATATCATTATGATGCATATATGCATACTTTTTCCCGGTGTGAGTCATTTGCAAATTTTCATAAATGAGCATGAGCAAATCTAAAGTTCCGTTCACTTGCCAGTATATTTTAGACAAACATTTTTTTAATTGTAATATTAGCATTTTATAGTTTAATATAATTCATCATAAAAATGTTTTTTTTAATTGTAGTATTAGCATTTTATAGTTTAATATAATTCGTCATAAAAATGTTTCGCTCATTTTAAAGTGCTTGATTTTTCAAAGAACTTACCTTTCTGGCGCAAGAGTTGTTTAACAACCGATAAAATTTGCTGCTGAAATATTTTGTAAAAAAAACATTAATTTATGTATCTATGACATTATACTGATATTCATAACTGACCAGTTAAGGAATAGGAGCATGGTTTTAAGTAATGAACTTGTAGAGATATTAGGTATTTTTGGAAACAGTAAAGATGAAAAATGAGCAACGCCTTCGCCGGGAATCGAACCACGGACCTCTGGAATACGCCTCTGGAAACCACTACACGACGAAGGCACGCTAAGAAGGCGAAAGCAATACCTTATAAACTTAAGAATGCTTGGGTTCATCGTATGAAAGAATGATGAATTGCTTATTTTGAAGTTCTTGAATATCTTTCTGATTCTTTTCTCTCAGAAACTAAAAGGATAAATATCTATCTCGGTAACTGGAATAAGGAAAAATGCACTTTTATTTTATAAAACTGATAAAATTACAGATATGGAGAAAATCGTGAATCAGTTGTAAACAGAATTACAGACGAAGCGTGTAATTCTGATTTCGAAAACTTCTAAAATAATTTTCTTTGATATTTGTTGCTAAATTATTAATGAAAGAAACTAATTTCTATAGCTACGAAAACCAAAGTATCCCATGAAAAACCAATTTGATCAAAAATAAAAAATTTAAATCAAGTAGTTAAAAACTAATCGTGGTGTTTTTAATAAGAGCAAGTTGAACACTGCTTGAAACAACATATAATGTATCAATGTATACCAGACGAACTTTTTTTAACATGCCTACTTTAAAAAAGTTTATAAATGAAAAAAATAATTATTATATGCTTCTTAATGCAAGTATTTTGAATCGTGGTAAAGTACATATGTATAACTATGTCTTTATGAACAAACTTTATAACAAATTTTAAAAGTTTATTTTTTATGTTTTATTGCACATTTTATATTTTTTATATAGTATTTTTTAGATTTTTGATTTAGAGTTTTCTTGATTAGTTTGATTTTTTATGCATTTTTTGTACCATCAAGAAAATTTTGAGTAAAATGTTTTTATGATTTATCATTATAATTTCAATAAAATATATAGGAAATCGCTAAAGTACCGGCAGAACTTTTGCTGAATTTCTGGGGAAAAGTCAGTGAATTTACTGTTGCGATAAAAAGCTACACTCGCAAATGTTTTACAGAAATTGCTACAATTTAATTGACATCTGATAATAATCCGTATTTCATTTTCTTTTTATATTTCATTTCCTTTTTATCGTTTGCGAATAATTTGTTCTTAATACAGAATTTTCCCTTTCCTTTAGCGATTTTCCAAAATGGTGAATATAACTTGGAAAAGAATTTGTGTTAAATTTTGCTTTCGCAACTACAAAAACGTTTGGAATGTTGTAAATAGCCTTTAATAACAACACACTGGATTAAAACAAAAGTTTTTTAGTAGTATAAGATGTTTAAGGAAGGCATAGATTGTGTTGAAATCAACCACGCTCTATTAGATCATCAACTCCCACCAATGAGATCAAGCCAAAGATTTGGAGCTTAGAGATCGTCGCTTAACAGTTAAGAATACAAATGAGCAATTTACTAATATGTTTGAATCCTATCAAGCCCTTCTGAGAGATTTTCTGGGTTTGCAGCACGTCGCTTTTTGATTTCTTTTAACAATCTGGAAATTTTCAGGAACAACAGTATGTCCAAACTCTTAGATGCTTTTCTGTGCTAATCTTTCTCAAAATGCTTCCTTACTGGTTATGAAATACGAATCGCTGCTTTTGATGCAGAGGCAGCACAACAATTATGAAAATGGAGGTTGAAGCAAGACTGAAAAGACCAACACGTCAGTTAAAAATCAAGGTAATGTTGGCAGGCAGTTTCCTTCGACTTTCATGATATTGTCCCTAATGAATTTATACTATTCGATCCAAATATTAACAGTTATATTAACTGAGTGTTTCGGGACGTACGTGTGAAGCTGGTAGTGGAAAACAGCAGTAGAGTTGTAGCGAAATAATTCAAGAATTTTGCAGCATGATAACGCATCTGTTCACACTGACTTTGTTGTTTGTCAATTTACCAAATGTGGCTCGAGAACGCTGTATTCACCTTAGATGACACTACACTTTGCTTTCGTATTTCCAGGATTAAAACTGCTGCTTCGCGTCACTGTTTTCAATTGATTGATCCAATAAAAGAAAACTCAGAGCGAATAATGAAGGCGTTTCACGAAATTGCAATTAGAAGGAATTACTTTGAACGGAATGTGATAAATATTGATCAAAAATTGAAAATTTGCATTTTTGCAAGCATTACTTTTTTTTGTCACAGTAGCTCAGTCATTATTAGGAGAATAAGCATATTTCTTTTCTGAAACATTAATGCTTCCCTTATTCTAACGTTTGATCAAGCTTAATACGAATTAAAAACTCGTGAGTTAAATCTCTTTTTATATTTAATATTTGAACCATTTTAAAAAAACGTAAAACTAAAGATTCCTTAAGTATATTAAAATGTTCCCTATTTTAGCAGTCGACAAGGAATTGTTAACAAGTATCAATCGTAATGTAGATATCAAATTCCAGTATAAATTTAATCTCAGGATTTCTTGAAGAGTAAGTTTAAAACAAATACATCTGACTATCTAAAGTAATAAAACATTAATAGGTGTAGCTTTTTCAAGACGTATAGGAGAATCTTTATTGTTTGAATCGAAATGATAAAAGCTATTGAAGTGAAAAAAAAATATATAGAAAAATTAATTATAAAATAATCAATGAAATATAAATAACATATTATGCAAAAATATTAGAGAATAAACAATAAATTATAATAAAAAGTAAATTATTCAATTATGTTTATATATGTTTATATATGTTAAGTATGAATCTTAACACTCACTTTAATTTATGCATTAAACATGAACTTACAGAAAGATAGTTTCTGACATTCGTAAGTAGGGCAACACTCTGTAGGGGAGTAAGTGGGCGAGCAGTTTTCATAATCGCCGTTTGGTGGACCAGGGCACTTTTTGTGAATGCATGTGAAGTCAGGAGGGGTAGAACATGTGCAAGTAACACAATGTGTAGGATGATTTATATCCAGCGTTTGTCCGAGCTTGTAGTGAGATCCTTTAAATTCACACGACATTCCAGATTCTGAAATACCAATAAATTGCCTCGTTATATGATTTCGATAATTAGTCCTGTGTGTGAAATTCTTTTTTCCTATACTCTAAAGCTACTCAGCATAGGTTCTTTGCCATACAACAATAACTATTCAAACACTTACCAATATCTATGCTATTTGCTAATGGCATAGTGGTATTCCTGAAGCCTTCTTCCGGACTTCCTACAGGATAAAACAATATAATCTAGAAAAAAAAATGGGAATGATGCCTAGATTAAAAATATTCCATATATAACACACTGAAAAAGAAAAATTTAAATGAAACGATTTTTCAATTAAAGTCAACAAATTTTTTATCACAACTCAACGAATCGTTAATACAGAAATACATTTTTAATAGGAACAAAAACAGAAGTTGAAAATTTTAACTAAGATTCTTCATAGGGGGGAAAATAATATGATTGAAAGTACAAATATGGAAATATTAATATGGTAAGAAATGCAGCATTTTCAAAGCATATTACGAAAAGCTGAAAAGGCTAAGCAAGGGAAAAAAAAGGAGATGTGTAAGAGTGGATTGAAAGGCGCCTCTAAACTGGTTTGCGAAGGGATCCGCAAGAATTGGCGCTTTACAATCACTCTGGAAAGCAGAAAGCAAGACACAATGGGCATCAATGATGCAACCGGAGAAACACTTGGAAGCTGAAAAGATAATCGGTTTGAGATCATTTGAAACGCTAGATTTAATAAAAGCCGAGATGGGTTCCTGTTCTTAAGGGAAAGAATTTCGCCCTGCGCCAAACGTCAAAACCAAGGTCTGAAAAAACTGAAGGAGAAATGGGTTGTCTAAAAATGAAAAAAGGCGTAAAACAAAACCAACTCAAGCACTCGAAGCTGATAAACAAAAAGGTGTGGTGGTGTGTGGGGGTTATTCAAAGGAATGTTTTTAGCTTTCTACCGACTAACACATGATCATGGGGCGAAGTGACTGTCGTCAGCTGGAAAAACTGGATCATTTACTTGAACAGAAAAGGCCCGAACTGATCAATAGAAAAGGCGTAGTGTTCCAACAAAATGATGCGAAACTTCATACAAGTTTGGTTCATACAAGTTCAAGTTCATACAAGTTGCCCAAAACTCTTTTGACAAAGTATCATTAAGGGCACAAAGCTAATGCTATCTATTCTATAAATAAGGGGGTGCTCTTTACAAAAGCACCAAAAAAATTGGTACGATGAGCATATGGTGTTCGAAAGTTAATCCCATGAAAAGCGAAGCAGCTTTCATTTAAGAACTGTTGCAACAAAAATGCGGGATGATCAAGCTGGGGAATGAATAAAGAATGCCAATATTTTTTGGCTAAATAGAATCTTACATTCACTAAGAGGCAGGTATCAACAGCTCAAAAGAATCCGTTTCTCACAACAGGGTAATGGACACGGCCCCAATATAAGGCAATTATTGTTAAAAATTAATTAAAGTAAATTATTCCGTATTTAATTGTAAGGTAACTTCTATGATTAATTTATGAAATCAAAATTTCTTGTCTCTTAGTGGGATTGAAATTAGAAGATACGTTTTGAAATCGATGATTTTAAAGGGAATTGATCTCATTGCAAAACTCAATGGAAAACGTTTCCGAGAAAGCAGTTACTTCTGCAGGTATGAAGAAAGAACTCTAAACTTTTTAATTAGTTGATATGTAAAATCGAGCTTCGGCCGCAGGTTTTTCCCAGAGTCATAAAATATTACTCTAAAAACAAAATTTTCACCTAAGTTGCGAATAGAAATCTCCCATTCTACAAGGTAGGAATAATGTATTTCTTGGAAAAGTTTCTTATTGCGCTTCGCCAGCGTAGGTACGATAAGACCATTTGACAGGAAGAAATATGGTACACATAAATTCTGTCGAAATAATTTTAAGTGTCAGACATAAAAAGAATTAGTGCTCTGGAACTCTTACCGCAGTAGATTTCGATTGGGCAACATGTAGCTTCATGATAAATTGGAATGCATCCCCGTTCCAATTTCCTAAGCTTCCTCTGTAACATACATTCATGTTGTCGGCAACTGTTGCCATGGATTCCTGACCAGTCTTCTGTACACGTGCATATCATGCATGGATCTTCCTCGGGATAAATTCTTTCCCCAAGGCGATATGTTTTTCCGCCATATTCACAAGTAGATTCTGAGGAAAAGTGAAACTATTTCAAATTCATGAAGATGTTTTGGTATTTTAAAATGAGGCAAAAATGTAACTTTATGTTTGGCGTAGATTAAAATTAAAATTCTATCGATTTCGATGGTGAGCAGGTTAAAGACCTTCTTCGTCCGGAAAAAAAAACTGCTACATATGCAGAACATACAGCAGAAGGTATATATGCTGCATATGGATATGCAAAATGCGCTATATATGTGCTTTTTATAGATACGCAAGATGAAATTCAGTATTTAATCTATATTTTAATACACAATCAAGTAAGCGTCGGAAAAAGGCAATTTATTTGCAGCATTAATATACATGATTAAAGTGCTTAAACTATTTTATAGCCTTAAAAGTTCTTGTCGAAGAAAGTATAATTGTTTAAAATATTTAATTCAGAGAAAATAATTCTTAGTTTGAAGCTTTTAAACATTTGATTACTGAAACAATAGTAAATTCGAAAATTAAAGTCAGCGGACTCGTTCGGTACGTTACATAAAATCATTCGATAATAATTTCATTTTCTTATTAAATTATACTAAACTACCTAAGCACTTGCTTCTAGGACAACTTTAAATTCCAGTTATTTTGCTTTTATTAACTATTCAAAATACAAGAGAAGTCACGAAAGTTGCTCAGGTCCATAACAACATTTCAACAACTTATGTATCATTTTGACTGGTCTACGTAAATAAATAAATAAGAATCTAAAGTTAAAACTTTTTTCCAGTTATTAAATAAATAAATAAATAAAAAGGCACTGTACTTCAATTCTAATATTTTACCTACAAAACTGTGTAGTTAAAAAACTACCGTTTAGTTAACGTGAAATCAAGTCAATTTCAAAAATTGCTCTTCAGAAAATTAACCTCAGTTAGATTCTATTTATTTTTTCTGATTCTCACGCCGCCATTCAATCAGTTAGCTCTGTCAAACGCCCATTAACAGCTGAAATTTTGCAATGCCAAGAATTCCTGAGAACTCTCACTTTAAAGGGGAAACAAATCGTTCTCCAGTCGGTGCCTGGCCATTGTGTCCTTTGGGGCAATAAGCAAGCGGACTTCCTTGCAAAAAGAGGTGCCAGCTTACTACAAAATCCTAACACAGCCATTTCTTAGTGGAGGATTAGATTGTTTTTTTTTTTTTTTTTTTTTTTTTTTTTTTTTTTTGTTTTTAATATTACATCTAATATCTTACGAGATCTTCAGACCCGTACAGCGTTAAAAGTGTTGGGGAATGTAAAGTCATTTTCTTATTCCCGATATTCCAAGACGCAATGTAATTGTGGCTTCCTGTTTGTCTACAGGACATGATTGCTTTGCCGTCCACCTGCACCGCATAGGCATTTCAAGCGATCCTATTTACCTACTTTGTGATTTTGGAGAAGAAATGGACAGGGATCACTTGCTCCGATGTGGGGCTCTTCGTAGTCGAGAGAAGAGTCGAGATACTGGGAGGCAAAAACGCTCTTTAGGCAATGGCATCTTCTTACCTAAAGTCGTGTTCTTAATTCTATTATTTGTAACCTCTGTTTATAAGATTTTAGTTCTTTCTAACTTTTTGACTAGCCACTAAAATAATAATAATATAGATTCTATTCAGTGTTCTAACTCAGTAATGTAAATTACTTTTTTTTTCAAGATAGAATAGCAAACATTTCAAAAACTAGTTTACTTCAATAAAATTCTATATAGTGGCTATTATCGTTAAATCATTTAATTGGATGTCTACCACTCTTTTACTATGAACTAAAAACTACATTCTGCTTAAAGTTAACAAGATGTATAATAAAATATCAGTATTAAACAGAGACTACAATTCTTTTACAATAATAGAAAATGGAATAAATTAGAAAGCAATAACTAGCTAGAATAATAAGAACATAAAATATAAACATAAAATAGAAAAACATAAAATACATTACCAGTTCGTTCTGTAACTTCATCTGTAACTGTAAATTAATGTTGCCATTAAAAAACGTCACAAGATAACGTATTTAAAAATGCAGTGAAGAAATATAGCACAACTAATGAACTAAAAAGTAATACGCATCCATATATTTTTTAAATTAGCCTTAATAAAAACTGAAAGTTGATTCTTTTTAGTGAAAGATTCTCATTTTACACATGAAGGAATTTACAGAATAAACTATTATTACAGAAGTTCTGAAGATATGAGAAGTGAATTATGCTATACTTTTTAATGGAAAAATATGTGCTACATATGCGGAACATGAAACATAAAACTCATAATGTGTAATTGTCCTAAGCAAACAAAGCAAAGTAGAGTGATTTTCTCTTCTAATTGTGAAAATAAAAGTAATATTTAAAATTTTCAACAGGTTTATGCTTTCAAAGGTAAATGTAAGTATCTAAGTTATATACTAATGCATATTCAACAAGTGCTAATAGCCTAAGAGCGATTCAAGATAGCTGAATTTAGTTGGCTCTGTTAGAAAAAGAAAACAAAAAATTATCAAAGGATTGGATTTTTAATATTTCTCTCATCAGCCACAATATAAACTCAAAGTTTTCCATAACACTGATCAACATTTCGCTTAGAACTTGCTTGAAATGAATCTTCGACAGTATTTTATGGTGTAGGGATATTTGAGAATAGGCCATGCATTTTACAAATTTCCGTAATGTGTTTACTGTTGAAATTCGCCGTGAAAAAATGTATCCATTTAAAGCAGTTATTCAGACTCCCAAACAGTTCATTTTTCACTGTAAGCGAAACGAACTTACGATGGCTGCCAATTACCCTGGTTAAGCAAAGTAATTGAAAAGTAAAGAGAAGATGTTGGTAAGAGCAAAATTTAACGCCATCAGTTGAATGAATGGTATTTGACACGGTTTAAAGTATATGTATAATTAAAAAATGCTATTGAAAGTAACAACTATAATTGTCTTTATTATAGACAAAGAATGCTGTAATATTAGCATATCTGTTCACATGTTCGGCAAAGTTCTTCCCCAACTCTCTCCTCGGGAATGATATACACCGCGTAATTTTCCTACCTAGATTTTCAAGAGATAAAAGTGCTAAAATAAAGAAAGAAACATTCAAATAAATATGCATTCTTATCATTTCGAAGCAATCTTTTCGAAGTAATCTGAGCTAACAACATAACAGGACTCCTGCATTCGTATTAATATAACGTGCTATTTCCTACTACAACAGGATTTTAAAATATAGGTTTATGGAGATCTGGTTTGTTATCACAACTCATTATTCATATCACTTTCTTTAAGGAATACAAATATTAAAATAAAACTGAAAAGGAGTTCATTCAAAGCATACTAGTAATGCATAATTTTTAACTATTATGATGAATCTAAAAATAACGTTATTCAAAAAAATGTTAATTTTAATTACCTTGTGGTGTTGCGCGGCCCAAACCTACACGCAACAATAGTAGTGATTGCTATGAACTGGAAAGTACACAAAACTCTTAAGAAGGATTTAACTCCCTTTTTATTCTACTTTAGAAGTTACAGATGCGTGCACTTGACGCTCACAAACTACGCCGACCCGGCGGTAAAATAAAAATAAGAAACTAAAAATGAAATAATAACAAGTTACTACCTACGAGGCTCTCTAAACGTAACTAACCTAACCGCATTCTAAGATGTAGCTGATATTTCAGCAAACTTTCTGAATATTAAGTTGAAAGATTCAACTATCTGCCGAGACAAGCACACAGGCCGAAACGCGCGGTTCTTCAATTTCTACCTAGCAACCTTCACGCTCGTGAAGCAAGAAAGCACACTTACGAACTCGTTTCCCTTCTATTTAACTTAAATTACTTCTGCTTAAAATTTGAATACTTTGCGCGTTCTACTAAAATTTACATACTCTGGCATTGGCAATTCCAGCGGAAAGTAAGGCTTAACAGGAAAGATAGTTTAAACTTAAAATAAATGTTAGTTAAAATAAATGTAAACCCTACAACCTAATAAAGATATATTATATTACTGATAAATTCCTTCTTCTGACAAAATTAAAAAGATTATTTACTTTAAGATTTGCCTTAAAAAGTTAGACAAATTGCCAAATTTCTTCTGCCATACCTTAGACGCATGATTTAGAAATTTGAAAAATACAAAGCATTTCGGTTTATTAAACACATTTTAAAACTTACATTTAGAACAATATATATTAGATGAAACTGCACTTACTGCACTTTGACGTCGTAGCGCAACATTTATCCTTTTCGTAAACATCATAGCAGTTGTCATCTGATGGCAACCCAAAATCTGAAGGGCACTCAACAAATATGCAATTTATCTCAGCTTCTTTACTATAATAGCTTTGTTGGCATGAACATATTTCACATGGGTTTGAGGTATCAATGTCCTCACCGATTTCGTATGTGTGATTTTCATACTTGCACACTGAAAACAAAGAACATGAAATTAATTTTATCATTCGTTCATATGCCAGTGCTTAGATTTAAGAAAATAATATTATTAATCATAGAACTTTGTATGCTTGAAAACAGTTTTAAAATAGCAAACTGTGTATCTCACGGGAAATTAGACAAAAATGCTAGTCAACGAAGTCCTTATTATTCTGTAGCGAAGTATGATATAATATACGGCTTTTTAAATACCTTTTGTTAATTATAAGACTGCAGCAAAATTCCAATAATTTGGAACATTACAGACTTAAGCTATGTCAGATTATCCGACTTAAAGACTGTACAAACCCATAAAGCCATAAAATGATATTTTGGGTTTGGAATCATAATTACTAGTGATGTATAAAATCGTTTCTAATAAATTCGTACATGAATCTATTTAACAGATTTCTCTGTCTTTTCATCTTAAAATGCACAGTTACTTTCTGATAAATTTCTTTCTTGATGAAACAGCTTAACTCTTCCTATCAGCACATATCTGTTATTACTCAGCTTCGAATCTCTTTGCAGTGAATCATTTATAAAATATATTATTCAGTTTTTGGTGCTGCATTTTTAATATTTTTCAAGTATCGAAATAACAGACTCGAATAAAAAATTCTGCAGTTTTAAATTGTGCTTTTTGGTATCATAATATGTATAAGGTCTAGTATCAGATTTTTTTTTATTTTATAATACCTGTATTTTCACCTTTTTTTAGTCTATCAATATTATCCAGACTTCATGAATTTTTAAAGTGACACGTTTCCGTTTTAATAACAACAATAATAACACGTAACAAACAACAATAATAGCATCATAAATGAAAAAAACTCAGATTTATATTTATTTTCCATTTGAAATCTTAAGTTTAGTACCTGCAAGACATTTTTGCTGATTGCATTTTTTGGTTTATGCATATTGACAGCTAAATATTATATTCTTAAACTAATATTTCTTTCAAATAACTATACTATGTTTAATTAGTCATTAAATAGTTTAATTTAAACTAAAATTAAACAAATTATGAAAACATTTTAAACTTTTCTGGGAAGCTTTTCTATGTGGGACAAAATTTGAGAATATATAATGACAATCTAGTCTGTTTCTCTTATTTAAGAAACTTTTCTTCGAAGCATAACTAAAAATAACTATATATGTCTTTATTTCTTAGCTTGATACTCAATGGGCTTTTATACTGATAAAGTTTGCAGCCTTCTAGAGAAATAACTAAAAATCACTTTCATCACGGTCTGTAGATGCTCGTTATTCAATCGGATTCTTTTCTTATCAGTTTTCAACTGTGTAGAAAAGCTGTTTACATACAAATGTATTTCTAAGTAAAGCGATTACTCTTAGTACAAAAATTCATAAAACTTTAATTCTCTTAATAAGATTTATTTTACATTCTAAATTAATTATCTCTGACGCGTTATTCATGTTATTTTTAATGGTAATGAAAATAGGGTGTTTGAACTACAAATAACTAACATCTTGAAATCTTAGCAATATCATATTTGCTACAAATACATAATTGAAATGTATTCGGGGCCACATGAAATTGCTTCAAGGGCACAATTCTCCCACGGGCAGCCAGTTTAAGTCCCCTGATTTAAATCAAATATAATTTTGACACATTCTTTCAGCATCAATTTTGCATATTTTATGATTTTTTCCAAAATTATCTTTAATGCGGCATGAAACACATATTGATTTGAAATATTTTCATATAGAGCTGATCTAAAGCTAAAATTTCATGAGTTTTACTAAAACAGTCATATAATGAAATTATTAGAGAACGTACCTTAGTTGATCAATTCGTAAACTGGAACCATGGTTTTAAATCTAACCATTCAAAACATATTTAATGGAGCATAAAAATTTTATTAAATATTTATATTTATATGTCTTTAAAAGTAATAAAATAAAATTCAATCAAAACAAAATTCTGTTAGCTGATGTATATTTAACTGCAGTTAAGTTATATAAAAATTTCATTCGAAATTACGTACGACTTCATTAGCAATTACGTAAGACTTTCTTCCTAAGTGCTTATTCTATTTCTGTGGCATTTATCTATTTCACGCCATTGCTTAAGCACAGCAAACTCTTATTTAGAAACTGAGCTTAAACAATCATAAAAAGGGGATTTAGTTAGAATTTGTGGTAGAATGTACAGATACTTAAATATCATGATGCCTAAGGATTGTACCATTATTTGTAAGGAAACGTACTATACATACCAGTGTTATTTACAGTTTCCTCGGGAGTTGAACAGTTGAATCTTACTGGACAATTGCAGCCTTCTTCATATACCGGTAAACAGCCCTTTGCTTCATAATGCTTGAAATATCTTTCTTCACACTTACACTGAGATATCAACTGCAGTGGTTTATCTGAAAATACAATAGCACATTAAGGACTGATTATTTGCATCTTAAAATTTTGTTTCATATTATATATTACTGTTACTCTATTGGTAATTTATTTTAGTCAAACGACTAGAATGTATTTGAAAATTTCTTTTGAAAACGGTCGAAACCATCAGTGATATAGCAACCTCATTACCATGAACATGCTCCAGGATGCCACGTATTGGATCGACAAGAAGAGGGAAACGCGTACACGTTTTACCTGCATTGTCAAGCTTTCAACGCAGCCAAGCTCGAAACCAAAGATGCCATGCTCGGAAACAAGGATTGCAGGTCGAACCTGCATCCTTATTTCGAGCTAGCAATCTATATCCGCTAACAATATGCCAACCAGGGCAGCCTAATGATTGATATATGCACTCATATTTTGAAATAGTAAGATCTGATATTTTTATCGTAAAAAACAGAGTTTTCCGAACACACACACACACACACACACAAAAAAAAAAAAAAAAAAAAAAAAAAAAAAAAAAAATTAAAATGGCTTCCTAAGAATCAATGAGATTTAAGTTTTATGATTTTCTTTCCATCCGGCTTTATTCCTTGCATTGCTCAGATGCTTTGGCAAGCTGGATTTAAATTTCAATGATTTCCGTTTTCCGGTGCTGTTATTGTTGTTGCTTCTTATCCTTGAAATCTTAAAGGATGTTGATCAGTTCCATGGCTAAAAAGTAATATGTGTCTATAGTTGGACCAAAAATATCAGATGACAGTTTAATTCTAGTTTTGATGAAAGCGTACAGACAGATCTGGGTGGATCCGAGGATCACCTACTCCCTCTTATACTACCATTAGTCTTCAAGAGGACTTTCGGCTCGACAATATTCTAAGTGTACCTATGCTGTTGAGATACTAAAACTCCGGGCCTTTTCTGGGATTGGGATCAAAACTCAAACTATGACAGCTGTCTTCTTTAGCCCCCTGCCAACAGATCGACTCAGGTTTCCTTTGCCTATCGAAATCAAGCAGTAAACACTGTATGTATCCTTGGATTTTTAATAATTAACAAAATTACTGCTTAATAGTAAGAAAAGTATTTGTACCGTTAATCAGTCAACCTGCAGTATATTATTTGAACCAGATTTCCAATCACTGCCAACACGTTGTAAGATTCCAACCTGTGTACCTTTTGGTTACAATTAAAGAGAGGAACCTTAAGAACTGATAAGCGAATAATCGCTTGAGTTCGTGAGACAAAGAACAAACGCGAGAAGGGCTGAATTATCCTTTATTATTCCAAATAAAGTTTAATAGATGACTCCCTTCTTGGAGTTACAACAAAGCCTCCACTCGAGCTTGAACTTAGGAAACTAAGAAATAAAAAGATATAGCCGAAGCTATCAAGATTCTAACAGAGTTGGTCCCTTAATGCTAAATAACGGCGAAGCTATCAAGGGCCTAAAGTACGGCCGAGCATAATAATAATAGCTTAAGAGTGAGAGTAGCCTAAAAAGGCGAACGCGCGCTAGTCAGAATCTATGGCTCTCTAACGAAGTCAGTAGAACTTCACAGTTAAATACTTCTCCTCATTTGCATTCAAACGTGATTCTGAAAATATGTTCTGGCCGGCAGTTGTAAGTTGAAATTCAGGAATATAGGAAAGTAACTTTTAACTAAAGATTAACTGTTAGAAAAATTAGCATAATCCTTACAACCTATTACCGTTATGTTGTGAATTACGCAGTATGGTGTCTTAAATTTAATTAATGTCTAGCAACTGGGAAATTCTGATGAGACGGTAAAAAGGTGGATTTATATTTACAGATAATACTCTTAATTTGGAAGAAAAAGATTTACGGAAATCAACTTTGCTTATAACTTGGCTACTAAATTAGTATTTTTCTTAAATTTAGTTGAAAAACGTAATAATTCCAAGTAACAAAATTCGGATGAGTTGCATCAGATTTCTATTCGAAATTCTGTAATTTAAATGAATTATTCAAGCTGGCCTCTTTCGTTCATTATACTGCATGAAAAGATATCTTACCCCATATTTTCTCCCAAACTGGAAAATTCTGAAAACTATAAAAATGCTAATAATTAGGGCTCCCAAAATTAGAATATATTTTAATCTCCGTTGTTCATTTTCCAAACGCAGAAATTTTAAAACTGTTCCAATTACACTCTTTTTTTAACAGTATACTTTGATTTTTAACCAAAGATGCCTATTTTTCAGTTCATATCAGTTAACATACGAAGAAATAAAAAGCAAGGCATTTAATCCTCATGGTTTATAGTGGTTTCTTACATATACTTAGTGAAGCCAATATGAAAACATTATAATTATTTAAATAAAACTGATGAATTTTTCATTATTTAAATAAAAGAATAACTTGGATTATTATTGTCAAAATTAGACGATTGGATTATGAAGAAAACTTAGGCAAAGTAAGAATGGTTATTTATCTAAAATGAGTCATTCCTTCTTGATGAATTTATTAAGAAAAACTTGTGATATTTATGTTACGTTTGAGGAAAACCTTAAAAGATTCATATAACCACTCCATTCAACTATTACGAAAAGGATCCGTGACGATTACTAGTGTTTTTCACTTCCCCCCCCCTCGGCCACTGTTGTAAAAAAGAACTACAATTTTCCCCCACTTCCCATAAAAAGAAAACAGTTTATATTTTGAAATGATTCTATTAAGAAGAAACTCATTAAGTGGCTCTTTAATGTAAGATAGGTAGTTAATGTACAAAATTTTATATTAAACGAATTCCTTTAATTCCACCAAAATTTGCACACTGAATTTACATTGATGCATTAACTACTTTTTCACTCTAGAGAAAAAACATAGTTGATGGCTTTAATTTCAATTACTTATGCTAAATTTAAAGTTTGGTTTCCTATTAGAGCAAGTATGTACAATTTTTATGCTTCTATGTGTAAATATCTTTAGATCTTTCCGATATTAATGGCTTAATTTATCTTTTTTGACTATCTAAACTTTCTGGACTGAAAGCATCTTCTGTATTTTAAAATATCTTAGTTATTTTAACAGATAATGGTAACATCTCGCAATATATTAAAAGAAATTGAACCAAAAATATACTGCATCTGCCATATGTGGCAAACACGCGAAGAATCTACTCTCTGATAGATTCTTGAAGGCTGGCCTATCGTAGTCTTATTTTCCGATCTATTGTTATCGCATGAGCATAGCCTTCTTTTTCACTTTCACTCTTGCAGCTGAAGAGCTGAAGAAGAAAGTTCTATTCAAACGTTCAAAAACTAGTCCTGCAAATTTATGCAACTTATGCTAATTCATGTTACTTTATTACCCGAAACATTTGTTTTCGGCATGCTATTTTAATTAATACTGATGTATAATATTTTAAGTTTCATACAATACCGCTGTTCTTTAATCTTTGTCAAAATGAATTTTATGATACAAAATTCTTTCTTTAGATAAATTTAATTGTTTACTATGCACTTTGATTCTCCAACAGGCTTCCATTCATGAAGACAAATAAATGATATTACACAAAAATGGTCGGCTTACCGCAGTCCCACGAAATAGGACAACATTCAGTGTCATTATAGACAGGCGTACATCCTAAATCTAACTTATCCGTATTAGGACATTCTATGACGTCGCAGTAACGATTGCTGGGTTCCAAGAACTCTCTTGTACATTTGCATGATAAGCACATATGTCTTGTTGGCAGATTATCTCCTTCGTTGTACTCTGCTCCACCATACTGGCATTTGTACATTTCAGAATCGTCTGCTATAAATTAAATAGATTTAGAAAGAACTTTATAAATGTATAATTATACAAACAAGCAAAAAAATTTCAATTTACAAATTTTGAAAGATATTTCACAATCACCACAACATAAGCTTTTTTTTTTTTTTTTACTTACGCTATATCACTTACGATATTATTTATTTTACGCAGCACTATACAACAGATTCTTTGAAATTTTTTCAAGAAATGGTCTGATATATGAAATCTCGATTCTATAAGAATTATATTTTTAACGAGACAAACACAGTTTGCTAATAATGACTTAAAACTTTCTTTGAATAATTTGAAACGATTCTTTAAATACTATTTTAGACATATTTTAGTTTTTATTATCCAGTCTCTCTATATATAATGTTCCTTTTCTACTAAGTTAAAGGAAAAGTCATATGGTTTAAAGAACTCGGAATCTAGGTATGAGCTGTTAGACTAGTCATCGGAGTCCTTGAAACAGACAAAAAGTTGTGTCTCTTCGTTATGGAATTATGACGATTATTAGATTCCGCGGTGATTTTCGCTAACTGCAGACATTCTGTTTCGTTTGATGTATATTAAATTAGTACGTTGATAACAACTATTTATTGGTCTGAAGTTATGATTTACTAAAATTAGGGTCAATCCTTTTGAATAACACTGTACTTTGACATATCCATTTCTATTGTGAATTTTAATTTAAATGATGTTATATACATGAATTTCAAACTCACTGTTAATAACATTTTAACGAAATTCCTATAGCACTCTTTTTAATATACGTATATAAATAAAACAATATTTTATAAAATTTTATGCAATGACATTACATTTGTTTGATAAAAATAAAGGGATGTAAAATATATTATGCAACTTTAGGTTCAATTCATAGAGAGAAGATATTCTTAATTTACCTTCTTCGGAGCCTATTTGCTGTTCATTGAGACTCCCTAAAAGAAAAAGAAAATGCAGAAATTAATTGTAATGTAATAATTTCAGTTCCCCTTATTTCAGCTAAAAATAAACACAAAATGTTTTAATCCATAAACTAAAAACATGAAAATAAAAGTTTGAAACCTAACATCAATTTAATTTGATTTCAAATTCCTCAGCTTAATGTTAGATGAAAATAATTTACTGAAAATCATGGAAAATACTTTAAAAGTTAATATATGAATAATGGAAAAAAATCAAGCCAGTGATTGAATAATAGCCAACGGAAATTATAGCAGTGTGAGGTTGTGTGAGTATTTAACGATGATTTGACATCGGACTTGAACATACATACTAGATGAAAGAAGGAGGTCCAGAAGCGTTGTAGTATAAGACTGAGAACTGGTATTTCAATTCACAGGATATGAGCTGGAACTCTGTAAAAATTCATCGATGCTGGTGCCTGTTCACCATTCGTGATATTATGACATTGCCTACAAATGAAGATATATCTTTTCAAATTATTACAAAATTACTAACTGAATGACACTGTAGTTAAAGAGACTACTCTTTTGCCTCATATGATCAGCAAGCATGGCAGGCACCATTTCCGGAATGTGGACCTCAATCAAGCCTAGAAAGAATCTAGCCAGTTCCGTAATTCTTCATTAATAAGACATAATTTGCTTTGAAAGTCAATAGCAGGTATGAACGTGTCTAGAGAAGGGTTGGCCAAACCACTGCGATAGCAGACATTCTTCGTAATCCTCCTACCACATTCACTGCGATACAGCACGTTGACGACATTTTGTAAAAATGGCCCTGAAGATATTAAGATACCATCCATATTATAATATCTTTTCGGGCATTTTTCAACAAGTGAACTGCTATGCAAAGCACGATTGCTTCGTATACCCGTTTATCTGGTCTAGAGGCGACAATACTAGTCAATGATACTGTCCACTACTGTACCCTTTTTTCTCAACAAATGATTCCTCTGATCTGGTATGCGGCTGAATATTTTTACTATATTAACTGGGAACTTTTGTCACTTTCGGATGATTTATTCCGATTGCGTTTACATTTTGTCAAAATCTCAAATATCGTTATTGATAAATACATATAATTTTAACGGGTTTTTATTCAGATAGATTGTTTTTTTTAACCGGATTTTTTTAAATTTATTTAAAATAAAAAGATTTATTTTTTAAAAAACAAATAATTGCATTTTTTTTTTTTTTTTTTTTTTTTTTTTTTGATCCTCTGTAGGTATTTTTAGTTAAAATACTTGCTGAAATGATGTAAAGAATTTTTGTTAAAGCAGTTTTGCCAATGTGGGTTGTTGGTGTTGTTGCTAATGCTCACTTGCCTGACCCCAGCCCACGAAATTTCTCATGGCAAAGAGCGCAAGTTTAGGCCTATTGTTGGCAACAGCTTTGAGCACCTTACAGGTGATAGTGCGATTTAGCTCAGTTCTGTCTCCAATTCTTATGGAGAGCATCCCGGAGAGACAAGGCCCGAGGATCTCCCACCCTCTTCCCCTACTACCACCACCTCTCGAGAGGACTTTCGACTCGCCGCACATTTAGAGTGTCCCCCATGCCGCACGAACACTATACATTTGCAAACATCCATTCCTTCTCCGGGATTCGAAGCGGGGCGCTTCGGCATGACAGTCAGCGACGCTAACCACTATACCGGTTGATCGGCGCTAATAATATGAGTAAGAAACTACTATGAAAGTATAATCTATTTTTATACCTTTTCCAAAGAAGAAAATTCCAATTAGTAAAATACTTGCTACAGAAAAATTTTACATCTCTCGCAAAATGTTATCAATATTAATATTTTACATAAAATGATTTTCACATTTTGTTGTACTCCCAATAATCTTAAGTCCTTATAATCTTAAGTGATAACAAATATCGACTTTTTCCTTTATTTATTTATTTTTGTGTATGCACTTCGAAAAGTTAAAACAACTCTACGCTTTGGAAGACATTCTATTAGAAATAAATAGGCTAGCTTATAAGATAGCCTTACGTATACGAGAAGCTTGTTATTTTCAAAATATTCTGTAAAAAATGATATTTAAATAGAATTCTGAGGCAAAATAAAAAATATGATTTGTTTTAAATAAAGTTACGGGATAGCCGATTGTGCTAATGTAGATTTTAAAAGTAAGATTGGACTATAAGGCAAACATCTAAAGGAGGGGAGAGGGAAATCATCTTATTCCCGGGCTATTACAGTAGTTACTATAACTGCATCCGCATCGGGATCAGAAAGTGTCATGAGTAAAAATAATTTTCTTTAACTCTTTTTATAATTCATGCTGGAGAATACATATTCTATGTCATTATGAAAGTTAACAAGTTACCTAATTATTGTCGTTCCCGTTCGAATAGGAATCCTGGGTGTAAAGAATGTAAAACAACCAGAAAACTGTAACCTTTTATAAATAATTTCCCAAATAATTTAAATCTGAAATATTTCTACAGCTTCGATGACGAAATAAATGTAGAATTTAAAAGAACAAAAGCTGCAACATGACGTCGGTATCACGCCCCTGCATATCCCCCCCCCCAATTTTCACAAAACGCATTTTGGGATAGTTTTCGATTTCCTATATTAGAAAAGAAAGATAAATATTCTACAGTATAAATGTAACAAAACTATTAATTAGGCGTTAAAATTCAATTTTTCATAAAGAGACAAATATATATATATTTTAAACAATGATTTCAATAGATTCATTGTTTAAGTGTCTGTGCCGATGTTTTATACTCAGCCTCTGATGCAAAACTAACTGCAGCTTCATTAACATGCTGCAGTTCAAACTAGCGTTTTATGCAAAAAGAATATATTTTCTAAACGCTTCATTATACGGTCGTTAACAGCATCTTTGAGGGAGTGAAATACAGGTTTCAGTGATAGTGATAAGTGTTTATTCTTTTTTCTTAAGAAAAAGAATTTAAAAAAAAATGCACATATAGCAATCCGGATTCTACTTTGTGAGACGTTTCAACAAAAAACAAATGTTAAAAATGCGAATTTGACCTTTTTTGTTTAATAAGGTCAGGGGCAGCTGCTCTGAAAACTAGTTGGCCCTGATGTCTCGCATGAAAGGTACAACTTTCCCTAATTTTGTCAACTGTTTGTTAATTATAGCTGGAACCATAACCACCCAGTAGAATCTACGTTTGCTTCTTTCTTTATTTTGAAATAATGACTGGTGCTGAGATGTTTGTTTTCGTCCCCCTCTATTTTCACGGTCAAACAGTAAAAATCATTATGGACAGAAAAAAAAGAACTTGTGTTCTGAAAAACTCATAATAAAAACCCTTTCACATATCTGTGCAAAATCCTCATTATACAGCTCTTAATTACTATAAATTAAAGATACATTAAAGGTATAAAATTATAAGAATGTCCTGAAAGGATAAGACTAAAACTGACTAAAGACAAGACTGCCCTGAAAGTTTCTAGCAGATAAATATTACAGTTACAGAGGAGAACTCAAGGGCTTTAAACACCAGCAGTTAAGAGAATCGTTAGCATTCTAATAGCAATAAGAAAAACAAAAGAACGGCGCATCCCAAACAGTTGTCCTGCATTAAGGAAAGACAGCGCTAAATTATTAACATTCATTCATTTTGCCACTGCAAGTTAAAAATTGTTATTGAATATACCATTTACGTTTTCCAGTTATTGATGAAAATTGGCACATTTTGTAATTTCCAGTTATTAATGAGTTAAATTAGTTCTTGTTGAGCAATTATGTTCTTTTAATACATTCATCTTTATACTTTTACCATTACATTTTTATGGTTATGATATTTAGTTGACCAAAACACTCGACAGCTATGTACTTAGAGGGGTATACTTTCGTAGAGGAATTTTCAAAGAAAATTGGCAAGCATTTACGTTTCACATAGGATGGGGACCATAAAATCTGCAATCAGCCTCAATTTTTGAAGTTAACAACGCAAGTTAAAATTATCCGAAAAGAAAAACAAGGTAAGAGCAGCCAGTTCTCAGTGTTTTTCTCTACTAATGAACTCATACTGTATTTTCAACTACTACACATTTTGTTTTTAAACAACGCTCAAAAGAAACAGTTTTCAATGGAGAAGCGGCAGGAAATAAATTATATTTAATTTCAAAATATTTTTTTCATCAGTAATTCCTTCGACACTATTCATTTTTACTTAGAACAGTGCATTTTTAGAAGTGTATGTAATAATGAGCATACTCCAGGAAATTCTTACGGACTTTTTTCTCTTCCACATGATACAAAAGAAATACATATTTAATTATATATATCAAAATTCTAAATAATAAGTATTATTTCAATATTTTACAAGTTCTTATACAGATATGTACTATTTCTGAAACTAAAATGATGTGATTATGGTTTGAATAAATCTTTGCACCTGTTCCCTGTACGTCCACATTAATTAATTTTGTTTCTAGGACATCAAGATCTATTGAGATAATCCAAATGTCCATTAAAAACTGAGAAAATAGTATATATTTTTCTCGAATGGAACTGTATACTTTCGATGTAACTGACATTTTCAAAAAGCATTTGAATATGATGTAGGTTGCGGAAAGTACTCACATTAAAAATAATTTTACTTAGTATATGGAATTTTCATCTGAAAGGCATTCTTTAAAATCAGAATCATAAAATATTATAAATACAATTATTTAAAACTGTGAAACTTTTTGTATTAAACATATTGACTAATTATTTATTTCTCATAGATGAATGGTCAGTTTAATATCTAATAGATGACAAACAATTAGCAAGGATAGATTGCGAGAAATTTCTTAAACAAGGTTACCATAACTTAGAATTTTGTCAAAAGCACGGAAAATATTTCATTCACTTTGCATTAAGTCATAAATAAATATTTACTTTTACATTAAATACATTCAGCGAGTTATTCCTGCAAAAAATTAATTATTCAATTTGTTTTAGTTTTAGCTAAGAACTTTAAAATATGTTTAG